AACAATTTTTTGTTGTCCTTTACTTGGGATGCCATCCTCAGCTCCATGGTGGCTTTGGCCCGTCTAACTGCCTCCCTACAAGCACGAGCAGAGGAGGTATATTCATCTTTGGCGATCTCTCCCTGTTTCCACTTTTTATGTGCTCCCCTTTTGGCCCTTAGGCTGCCCTGGATTTCTCTGGTCAGCCAGGGAAGCCTCCTGGCCCCTTTTCCCCTTTTGCCTCGCTCGGGGATCATCTTGCTTTGTGCCCGAAGGATCGTTTCCTTAAGGCACAGCCACCCTTCTTGGGCTCCCATCACTTCAAAACTCCTACTCTGCAGTGCGTCCTTGACTAATCGCCTGAGTTCATTGAAATCAGCTTTCCTAAAGTCTAGCACTTTCACCCTACTAGTTACCTTACCCACTCCCCGTCTTATGATGAATTCTATTATTTGGTGATCACTGTCCCCCAGATGGCTACTGATCTGGAGGTCCCCAACCATGTCATCCCCCGTTGCCAATACCAGATCCAGTATGGCATTCCCTATATATATGGCATTCCATATATGGGATCAGAAGTTGCAGAAGACCCACTTTTAGTGGTAGGAAAATGCCTCTGTGGCAGGTACGACAGACGACAGCCCTTAGAGCGGCCACTGATTAGCATTGCCCAGACCCACTGGTTGATGGGAAATTTCTCTTTGTTTTTAATTTCCTGCTCATTGGAAATTCAGAAACACCAAAACAAAATAGATTCCTCAGGCCCTGCATCTCCTCAGTGATACTGATATTCTTGGCTGTTGTTGTTTGCATGAAGCTGAAAACAGGGTCAAAGTTGCTAAGCAAATGTCAGGTCCACAGACCCTGAATGCCCTTGGAAGAGGCTGCCCCAGAGGCACAGACTATAGCAGGGAACCTAGAAGATCCAAGAGCCCTGTCTCTGTCTGAGATAATCAGAGCTTTAGCCCTGCTGTATTGCTGGGATCACAGATAGAGCCAGGACTTCCTGGCTCCAGGGCACAGAGAGCCTGGAAACTCCAACAAGCTGCATCCTTGACACGGCAGTCTGCCTGGTGGGTCTGCCCAGAACAATACACTTTGTATTCCTGACACACAAACTGCCCAGAGCTGGGAATCCAGAGCTTCCAGGATTTTCAGCTATGAGACAAACCTTCCAAGAGCCTTTGAAGTCCTGCCTGGAAGTCAGCAAAAGTTCATCAAACCCAAGATGTCTCAAAGAAAACATTTGAAGATCAAGGAACTTTGTTTCCCTGGAGAATTTCCAACAAGGCCCATTTTGCTGTTCTCCCCACAGGCTCTTCAGGCACTCTAGGGCAGGGTTCCTGCCTGCAGGCCTGGGAGGCTTCTGTCATAAAAACAGATCACTAGGAGTTTCAGAGCAGGGATGTCTCAGTTCTCAGATCAGACTGTGAACAGGGGGGCATAGAAGGGGCTTCAAGCCATCATAACTATCCTCCCTGAGGTGGCAAGTTTGCTGCAGTTTCTTAGAGGCCCAACACAAACCTCACCGAGCAAGGGAGAGGCATTCTTAGCCCCATGCTTTTCTGTGGTTCAGGGCATGTGGGAGAAGGTGGCTTGCCTGGTGTCAATGTGCCTGAAGTTTCTAGTCATGTTGGCCCACATGCAAAGGCTTGGTGTGTCAGGAAATCCATTATAGCCTAGTGTTCTTTAGTACTCGGAGCTCCTCCTGTCTCTCGCCAATTGCGACTCTTAAAATTGCTGCATAGCTAAATACGAGGTTATCTTATAGATGCTTTGCGGGAACTCTGCTTGGTATTAACCTACTTTAAGAAATGAGAAGGATCTCAGGAGCATCAGAACCATGCTGTCTTAGGAGGGGCAGTCAAAGCAAACTCCAAGCTCTCCTAGTCTTTACAGCTTGCACACAAGCACATTAACAGCACCATTACTAACTCTGCTAGGGCCATGTAAAACGGCTGTATTTCAAATCAATTTTGGATTCGGCCGTTTCGGAGGACAGTGATTCGTTTCAGTGTTTCAGATCACTGTCCTGTTTTGTTTCAGACAAATCTGTTTCAGAGGTTGGGTTCTGCTGAATCTCCTCCGAATATGTTTCGAACGGGCTGCAAGGCAAACTTTGCACAGCCCTTACCCAGCCGGGTGGGGCTTGGGGCAAGGGGCTTGGGGCCCCAGTGGGGAGCAGGACGGGGCCATAGGTGGCTCATCCAGGGGAGGGCTGCTGCCCTCCATGCAGGTAAAGAGACCCCCGCATAGGTCTCTGATCCCTGTCACGCCAGGTAGCAGAGCAGGGAAACAGTGCAGAGTGGCAAGCAAGCCTGCTGGTCCTTGCTGCATGGCTCAGCTCTGCAGGGAGCAAAGATCTACGCTAGGGGTTTCCTCACCACCACTGCCCACCCCGCACTGCCCCACCAACATGGCACTGCGTGAAGTGGACAGCGGCGGCGAGGAGACCCCAGCACAGATCTCTGCTCCCTGTGCGGCCAGGTTGCATGGCAGGGAAATGCTGGTCTCTGCCGCACAACCTGGCTCTGCAGGGAGCAGAGATCTGGGGCTGCACTGGGTGGGCAGCAGTGGTGAGGAAACCCCAGCTCAGATCTGTGCTCCCTGCTGAGCCGAGTCACATGGCAGGGCAGCAGCATGCATGTTTCCCTGCAAACCTGGCTCTGAAACTCCGAAATTTTCCGAAACATTTCCAAAACGTTTTGGATGCCTCATTGTGTTTTGGAGATGTTTCTGATCCTTCCGTTTCGATTCAGATTTGGTGTTCGGCCATTTTGGCACCCAAAAAACACCTCCAAAATGAACCGGCTGCTGAAATTTCGCATAGCTCTACTTTTTACCTTCCTATATTTCAGGGCTATGGAGTGATCCTGCAGGTAGCCACTAGGGGGGACTGAAGAACAGAAATTAAGCAAGCTCTGCAGGAAATGGCAGGGCTACTGTTTTTTGTGTTGTTGAATTGGGACTGTTCAAAGTGCTGGAAGGAACGGATCTGGATTGGCCAGCAGAGAGGGAGTGGGAAGAGGTGCATAAAATGTCTCTTTTCATTTCAACCTTCTGATGAGAGAAGAGCCAGATCCCTGAAGAGTTTCCTGGGGGAGGGAGAGGTTGAAATTGTGTGGCAGATCCCTGTGTGGAGCAGGACATGACACAGCTGGGAATTAATTCAAGGGGATGAGGCTTTCCAGGAGATGGACAGTGTATGAGATAAGGATGGGACATGTTCCAGAGGGCTAGGCTGTGTACAGATAAGGGCATTGAAGCAGTGGGGCCTGCAGCTATCTTGAAATGCTACCAAATTCTTTCCCTTGTCATTCCACAACTGTTTGAGCCTCCACATGCCTTCTCAAAAAGATGTCCACGAGACCTCTTTCCTCTCAGCACTCCCCCACCGAGTCCCGGAGACACTTTCTCTAGTGCTTTGCACTATTTTGTTCAAAACAAAGTTTGCAGGGGAACTGCCTGAGAGAGGAATGCCCAAAGTGCTGCAGCTGTCTGGCAGCTCAGATCTGAGGCTTTCCTTTTCCTGCCTACTCACTGAGGATCACTAGCAGATGTTCACAGACAGGCTGCCATCACACTGCCAAGTACAAGAAGAAATAAAGGGGGTCAGGGCACAATCTGGGGCTGGAAGGGGGATTTTCTCCCAGGCTGAGGAGAGGGTAGGGAGCCCTTGTTCACACCCATACCCCCTCCATCCTCCTTGGAGAAAAGCACTGTTCCACTCCTCCCATTACAACATATCTGGAGATCATCACATTCAAAAGATGGTATTTCAGTTAAACTAGTACAGGGATGAGGCTTCAGACATGTGAGAAATGTTGGCTTGTGCTTCCCCTAGGTTTTGCTGGAGGTTGTGTTAGGATGCTGTATGCTGTTAGCTCTCACCCCTTAACTGAAAAGCCTAAGAGGATTGAGTCACTAACAGAAACTTCCTTTTGACAAAATGTTGAACCATCATTGAAGCCAAATACCTGTACGTGGGGAAACCCAATGTTTTTAACTACCTGACTAAAAATCTCTCCCCAGCTCCATTACTCAGCTTTTACTTTCTTGTCGGGATGCTGTTTCACTAGTTCTCCTGCCATAGAGGCTCCTTGGAGAAGGAAGCCCTGGGTTTCTAATGTCATAACCAGCAAGAAAATCAGTTGTCAAAACCTTTTGGTCCATCAAGGATCATGATGTAGGCCCCAAATCCTTTGGCAGCCAGGCTCCTTCAAACATAGCTGATTGTGTGCATCTCTGTTCTTTCCCCACTTCCCTTCCAGGTCTCTGCAGTGCCAACCGTGCTGGCCATGAAGAATGGAGACGTGGTAGACAAGTTTGTAGGGATAAAGGATGAGGATCAGCTGGAGGCGTTCCTCAAGAAACTCATTGGAGCCTGAGGAAGAGGGATGGCCAGTGAACATGCCCAGACCTCTAGAATTGTCCATGTCTTATGTTGTCTTATCTGGGGAGGGGTGAAGGGAAGATGAACTGCTTTGTAGAATCTGTGCCCCCTTTTTTCCTTGTGAGGCTTGGGTTGGGGGAAGGGGGTTGTAGCCCAGCCTCTCCTCTGGGGCAGCAGTATCCCTGAGCTGTGCTGAGGGATGAAGAGAAATGAGAATGGTCATCCTCAGAAAGTGCGGGGGGTGGGGAAGCAGCTGGAATAAGCCATCCAGTTCTGTTAGGGAAAAGCTGGCAGCAAGGGAAATGGGGCTGCTGCCAAATTAAAGGAGGGATGTTTATCATTTCATCTGTTCTATCCTGGCCCAGAGCAGGAGATGACTACTTCTCTGCGGGGTGTGAGACACCCACGTGGTCCAGGTGGATTTGTTAAAGTAAGAGGACTGCTCTGCCTTGTGTGTGAAACCTACATCCTTGTCCCTCCATCCCTATGTTGCTGGGATGGGTCTCAATGCTGTGCAGGTCCTTGGGCCCTTGCCATGTTCTCCCCTGCTGCTGTTTTATAAAGATAATGAAGAAAAATGTCTATGGATTTCCTTTTGTAGGTCTGTAATAAAGAGAACTTTATTAATCACTTCTGCCTGGTTCAGCA